TCTTTTCTAACATGACATAAACTCGATCAAGTAACTTCCCTTGACAAAAGTCTGAGTACATTGGCCGAGCTGATTTTCTGAACACTAAAGTCAACCAACCAAACCTGGCATATTTTCAGCCCTCCACCTCTCTGTCCCCGTGCAATACTGGCTAAGTAAATTAAAGCCCTCCCTCCATCCATATGCAATACTGGCCTAGGAAAAAGTTTATATGAGGATGCTACCTTATAATGTAGAACTCCGGATGCTCTAAAAAATCTATCAAAAAAGGTAGTTTTAATGTTGAAAAACGCTTGGATTGAAAATCTCGACATCGAGATGTATGACTATGAAAAATAAAAAGATTTTAAATCTAAAAAATAGTGCATTTTACAATATATTATCTATACCTTCTATTTTCAAGATTTTCGTATGTTCATAAAAAGTTGTTTTGATGTTGAAAAACTATCTAATTGATCAATCGCAATATCGATATGTATGAATACGAAGAGAAAAAGATTTCGAATCTCAAAAATAGTGTATCTTTCAACACATTATCTCGACCATCCATTTTCAAGATTTTCATGTATTTATAGATCTACTTGATTTTAACCATTGTTTGAGTTTAACTGTTTATAATTAGATATCAAAATAGATTTTCAAGTCATCATAAGAACTTTTTACCCAAAATTGCATTTATAATAGAATTTGGGACCCCCATAAATAAATTGAGTTTGCAGTTTATCGACACTTGATCTGGCCATCCAAAATTTCGATGGTCTCTGTCAATTTTAGTACTTTTTTTTCTTCAAGCACATATAGTGTATATGAACCAAGTTTGTCTTCAAATTAACCATTAGCTTGAGGAGGTTCCATCCCCAAAATTTGTAGTCCCAAGAATGCTCCTAGGTAGGGCTTTACCCAAACTAGTAAATACATGATATGCTTCGAGGGAGTGTGTAAGTTTTTAGCTTTTGTAAATTTAACTAGGAAAAGTATGAGTACAAGGTGGTCACAATTGATCTTGACCATTGGTCGTGAAATTATATATATGTATTTATTTCATTGATCAAGTTCAAACTTTAAAAGAAATTCTCAAACTTTTTAACATATACAAGCTATCAAATTTCACAATTGATGGTTTTAAATAATTATGACCTCTTTGTATCAATGGTAAATAGTCTCATTGTATATAATCTTATTTACCAATATATCCAATAAACCACAAGGACAAACCACACATATAAGGAAAAAGTTTATATAGAGCTGAGGCTCTAAACAGTCAAATTGGAGCTCACCTAAAAAAATTAACTAGAAGAGGTTGTTTTGATGCCTAAATATCATCAAATTGATCATCTCGACATCAAGACGCATGGACACGAGAAAAAATGAATTTCAAGCTTTAGAAATAGTGCATCTTGTATCACATATTTTGACTATCAATTTTCAAGATTTTTATAGATATGCTCGATCTATACTATTTTTGAAGCTTTAAATTTTATAATTAAAGATAAAAATATACCTTAAGACTATAACTAAGATTTTCAATATTGAAACCACATTTCTCGACATAATGGACGGCCTATGTTAATTGGGCTAAACAAATACTTTCTAAGTTCCATTTCAAATTTATCTTTTTTGTGATTGTTCATTAGAATGAAAAGAGTGGCCTTAACATGATTTTTTAATATTGTTGCATTATATTGCCATACAATTGTGACATGAAATCACTATCCATGTGGTGATTTCATACAACAGTTGTATAGTAATATAATGCAACAACCTTAAAAAACTATGTTAGGACCATTTGTTCGATCCAAATTAAAAAATATACACTCTTTTCATTGTAATGAACAATCATAAAAAAGTAAAATTTAACAACGGAACCTAGGAAGTATTTTTTTAACCCAATTAACTTAGGTCGTCCATTTTGATAAGATGCTTAGATCTAGGACTTAGAAGGATTTTTTCTTTCTCAATTTTTTTAGATGGCTTTATTATTATTAGATGAACAATGCTAGGGAAAAAAAAAAGATTTTGAATTTCTAAAGGCTAAGATCTAAAAATTCACTAAATGAATGGTCTAGATTCGTTGTTGAAAGGGATTCATTTTGACCATATCTAACATTCAAATTGAACCTCTTTTTTTTTTTGATTATTGAGATGAAGAGAGTGCGTGTGCAAAATTTTGGATCATACAAATACCACAAACATGGTTTTTTTAGAAGTGTCGTTG